GACACTTCCATATACATATATGGTTTGGTTCATCCCCTCTATTATTCTCCTTCTTACCTTCTGCATCCTCTCAAAATTCTTCCAACAGGTTTCAATGCCCCACATTCATACATGTATAAAAAGTCCCTCATCCATACACGCCCTCCTTTACCTTCTTCATTTACCCTCCCCCTCCTCAATACCCTCTTCTTACCATGATCTGTTTTACATTCCTGTCCTTCATTGTTCTAGCATCTGTTCATTGTTTAGTGGGGTCTTGCCTTGGTAGAATCCATAGATTTTTAAATATGGTTCCATTTTTGTAATGGAATCTCAAATCAACATTTCTTAAGGTATGTTTTATCTATTCTACCATCAGATAATTTGATTCAAATTCATAACATCTCCACCAATTTTTAAATATGACAAATTCCTACCACTTTGGGAAAAATGAAGAAGGTTCAGGATAATTTACTAAAAAGTCTAAACTCATTTTTAAAAGATTTTTAATTTCAAGTATTTCATGTTATGAAATAAGAAACAGCACAAATAAATACTAATATTTAAATTATCCAATAATGACAATTTTATTATTCTGCAATAAGCCAACCATATAGGACATATCACAAACATTGTAAGAATTAACAGTAGAGCCAAATGGCAGGTTTGAAAGTTTCTCTATCTATGATGATTCTCTTTCATTAGACATTGCTGCAGTAATTCAGAAATGAACATGTTCTTAGTGCTTAATTTAATAAAGAGAATGCTCATTTTATCAGTTTCTGGTCTGAACTAGTGGAGCAAGGATCATAGAGTTCTAAAACCAAAAACAGACTGGGGAGATTATCTTTGTTCCAATGAAGAATTCAAGTTCAAGACAGGCAAAGTGGTCCCAGGATCTAAGGCAGTTTCTGAAAAGTAACATAGAAGTGATGGTGAACCTAAGATCAGTGACTGAGTGCCCTAGGGAAACCCTCAGGAACTGGGCCTGGTACTTGTCAATGAACAGCATACTATATTGACTAAAGCAAGGATGAAGGCACCTCTCAGTCCTGGGTGGCAACCGGGAAACATGTGCTTCATGACAGCAAACAAATCACGTTTTGCTATAATTTAGTTTAGCACTGGTGCCTGGTGTAGGTTTCATTGACTCAAGGTACTCATACTGGACCAGGAAAAATTTGGTTCTGGGGCAAAAGTTAACCTGAATAGCTGCTTCATTGATCCTCATAGACTATTCTGTGTGATAGATAACTTAACAGTATTCCTCTCTCTGTTCTTACAGAACTTCAAAGGCAAAGGTAGTAACATATTTACCAAAGCGACACAAATAAACAAAATGTCTAAGAGTACAAGTTCTACTTACTTTAATCTTGGCTCTACCACTTGCTAGTGGGTAATTAATTTATTTAATTTATGTAGTCTTTCTGCCTATTTTCTCAACCGTAAAGTTAAGATAATTATAGTATTGTCACATAAAGTTGTTTCAAAGATTAAGTGAGAAAATACACTGGGAGAGTGTAAATGAATTCTGTTAGCAAACAGACTATAATATTTATAAGAGAGCATCAACCTAATTTTTTTTAGCAGTACGAAGGTCTGAACTTACGGCCTTGTGCTTGCTAGGCAAGTACTCTACCACTTGAGCCATGCCTTCAGTTCCTTTTGCTTTAGTTATGTTTGGAATAAAGTCTCACTTTTTCCCAGGCTGACCTGAATCACAATCCTCCTATATATACTTCCTACATAGCTGGGATGACAAGTATGTACCACCATGCCCAGCTATTAGTTGAGTTGAATTTTTGTCAGGGCTGGCCTTGAACCACAATCTTCCCAATGTAGGAGTACAGGCATGAGCCACCACACTGGCCCCACCATAATATTTCTAACAGACCTTATTGTAGGCTATTTCACAGCTACAAAATGACAAATAATTCCATCTTCTGTGTGATTACTGCTTTCTTTCCAACATCACTCTCAATCCCACTTTGGTCTTCCTATCTCCAGAACAAAGTCTGAAATGTCTAATTGCTGAACTCTTTGCTTCTTCATAGCATTCATTCTAAAAACAAGTCCCTATTTCCCTGATGGTATTTTAAAATTACCCAGTGTAAGTCCAAATCTTATAATAAGTCCCTCCCCACTCATTCATATAGAGCCACCCCCTGGTATATGTTCCTTCTTGTTGCATCAAGTTAATTAAACTTAACTTTATATGAGTCCAGGCGTTCTTCTGGCTGTCTTTCGCTGTTGGACTACAACAATACTGAGCACTTACTATCACACACTATATGTACAAGAAATTCTAGAGCTGGATGTGATGTCTCTCAGCTCTCAGCTAATTGTGAGGTAGAGGTAGGAGGATCACAGTTCAAGGCCAACCTGGGCAGAGGAGTTGGCGAGATTCTATCTTTTTTTTTAATTTTATTTTATACGTATGTGCATACAATGTTTGGGTCATTTCTCCCCTCTTCCCCCATCCCCTCCCTTACACCCTCCCCCTTCCCCCTGGTCTCTCCCTTACCCCTCCTTTCCCCTCGCTACCCAGCAGAAACTATTTTGCCCGTATCTCTAATTTTGTTGAAGAGAGAGTATAAGCAATAATAGGAAGGAACAAGGGTTTTTGCAAGTTGAGATAAGGATAGCTATACAGGGAGTTGACTCACATTAATTTCCTGTGCGTGTGTGTTACCTTCTAGGTTAATTCTTTTTGATCTAACCTTTTCTCTAGTTCCTGGTCCCCTTCTCCTATTGGCCTCAGTTGCTTTTAAGATATCTGCTTTAGTTTCTCTGCGTTGAGGGCAACAAATGCTAGCTAATTTTTTAGGTGTCTTACCTATCCTCACCCCTCCCTTTTGTGCTAAAGCTTTTATCATGTGCTCAAAGTCCAGTCCCCTTGTTGTGTTTGCCCTTGATCTAATGTCCGCATATGAGGGAGAACATACGATTTTTGGTCTTTTGGGCCAGGCTAACCTCACTCAGAATGATGTTCTCCAATTCCATCCATTTATTTGCAAATTGTAAGATTTCATTCTTCTTCATGACTGCATAAAATTCCATTGTGTATAGATACCACATTTTCTTAATCCATTCATCAGTAGTGGGACATCTTGGCTGTTTCCATAACTTGGCTATTGTGAATAGTGTTGCAATAAACATGGGTGTGCAAGTGCCTCTGGAGTAACCTGTGTCGCATTCTTTTGGGTATATCCCCAAGAGTGGTATTGCTGGATCATATGGTAGATCAATGTTTAGCTTTTTAAGTAGCCTCCAAATTTTTTTCCAGAGTGGTTGTACTAGTTTACATTCCCACCAACAGTGTAAGAGGGTTCCTTTTTCCCCAAATCCTCTCCAATACCTGTTGTTAGTCGTGTTGGTAATGATGGCTATTCTAATGAGGGTGAGGTGGAATCTTAGTGTGGTTTTAATTTTCATTTCCTTTATTGTTAGAGATCCTATCTTAAAGAACAAACTGGGCAGGGTGGTTCATGCCTATAATCCTAAATACACAAGCAGAGGTAGGAGGATTGCTGTCTGAGGCTGGCCTCTGGCAAAAAAAGTGCAAGACCCTATCTGAAAAATAAACTAAAGCAAAAAGGAAAGTGTGGCTGAACTGCTAGAGTGATTGTATAGCAAGTGCTAGGCCCTGAGTTCAAACTCCCAGTATGAGAGAGAGAAAGAGAGAAAGAAAAGGAGAGATGTTATCTATTGGCATTAGAAAGGAATTCCTTTTATTCTCAGCTTCTTTAACACACTTCAAATCAAGTTTGTTCAATGAAGGAGCTTTTTTAAGTAACTGTGAAGCTAGGAAGCATGGCTGGGATGAAGAAAAGAAATCTATCCTCCAAGGAACAAAGTGTTATGGAGAAGTGTCCAAGGTAAGTACAACAGCAATTCATAGAATGGAAGGGCAAGCAAAGCTAAGATAATGAGTCTAACTGAAGTCCAAGTAGTAGCCAGAAATTGGCCCTTTCCTCTAAGGGTCCTTGTAAGACAGGCTATCCAGACCTTTAATAAAAAAGAGTAGGATGAAAAAGCTAAACCTTTAAAGTTATTTCTGAATTTCTACAAACACTCATCTGAAAAACAAGGAAATGCACTTTTGAAGTAGTAGACTGAATGTCCAAGGCACAAACATGGTAATCAAGCAGGATCCGGATCACAGGATAAGAATTTGAATAGCAGTTACATTAGCTATCTATTGCTGCATCACAAATTACTGCAGTACTTGGTAACAACTCATTAGTCATTTATTTTCTCTAACAATTGTGCCTGGTCAGAAACCTATGAGCTGCCTCATAGGCTGGCTTGTTCAGGCTCAAGGTCTTTCATGAGTTTCAGTCATCTGAAGTGTTGCTTGGGGCTAGTGAATCCACTTTCTAGATGGCTCAGTCATGCCTGGTTTTCTTCAGAGCTGTACGACTCTCTGCAGGACATGACCACTGTTCTCCCAAGGGGAAGCAATTGAAGAGATTAAGATGGAAGTAGTAAAAAATTTTGTGACCCAGCTGTGGAAAGCCACACTTCATCACTTTGGTCACATTCTAGTCCAGTACATAGCAGCCCTACTGCAGTGTCAACTCTGCCCATCTGCCGTATGTGTTGTTTCGGACCTGCACCTAAATTCTAATTCTGTTTTCTCTCACTTATAATATAAAAATTACAACCTCCTTTCAGGGAGGACTGTTTTGAGGACTAACCAATATAAGATTGTCAAAGCGCTACTTAGCATAATAAGTCACCCCACAGAAGACACTATCAGAAGGTCATTTATCTTCCCTTAAATTCCTTAGGAAGATGTCTTTTGTTCCTCTCAGTCTTCTAAAATTTAAACTCCGAACATCCCTTCCTTTCTTACCACTGAAAAGGTGAGTCAATCCATGCCCTTCTATCCCAACCTGTACACAAAGCAGGACCATTTTGGAGGCGGAACTCTAGTTCCGGATCTGACGCTAGTACCCGGAACTCTTTTGCGACACGGGCCGGAAGTGGCTCGGCGACTCTCTTTCCGTCCTGGAGGGCATTGGCGGATAGCTGCTGCAACTGCTGTCTCAAGGCTCCTGCGAACGCGTGCTGCCAAAGTGGGGACGTGCTGAAAGCACCGCGGCGGGGCGCCCCGAGGTGTTGTGAGCCGAGCCTCCCCGGCCACTCCATGCCAGGCTGGACGCAGCTGGCGCGGGCCGGGGCCCAGGTGCTGGGCTGCGGCGTCGGCGGCCTTGGTGCTGCCCCGGGCTTGGGGAATCGGTGGGTACCGGCCAGAAATGGGGTGTAGGGGAGTGCAGCCTACATAGCCGTGGCCCCGAGCGTGGCTTGGCGCGGGGGGTGCTGCTGGAGAAAGAAGGGACTCCGAGCAGCGAAATAAGGAACATTAAGAAGGCGTCCTGTAGGGGATTGAAGAGGTGATTTTTTTAAATGCTTGAATTGGCGGCTGGCTGCGAACATTATCAACAGCAATAATCAGTAATAAAATCTTACTATTAGTATGTTCCATGTGCTAGATACTCTGTTAAGTGTATTAGGCGCCTTATATCACGTAGCCTCATGTGATCAAGCTACTATCATGTTAGTTTTACAGATAAAACGGAAGCTAGAGAGGGGAGGTCTTTTGCCCCAAACCTCTCAACTAGTAATTGGAAAATCAGTCGGAACTCTAAAGGAGAGTAGACTGCAGAGAACTTTACTTCGATTCTGACCCCCTCCTTGCAAGAATGACATACCTCCCTCCCAACCTCTGCCCACTTAAGTCTTCCTTGTGTGTTTAGTTGGTCAGAGATCATGTCTTCCGTGGGTTTTTTAACTTTGCACACCCAGTTTCTTTACTTCTCCAAGCTTAGGGCATGTTATTACAGGAAGGAGGTGAGTATGAGGAAAAACAAGTGATCTGCCACCTCCACTGAATATAAAACTATTAAGCTACACATTCAGATAGGTTAATGGCCTCGCCTATATTTAGGTAGGACTGTTTTCTCCCCTTTTATCACATGGTAGAAGATGAAGAACTCTTCTTCCATAGTTAAAATGTGAGCGTCATTCATAAGGAATGTCAGGAAAGAAGCTTATAAACAGTTCAAACCTTTTCCTAAGGCTTTGACTACACTGTCTTAACATGTGCCTCCCTCCCTACCTTAAACGGTTTGGCTTATTTTTTATTTTTCAGATCAAACATCTGGCTTTTTGTTAGAAGTCTCCATGGCAAGAGTGGTAGTTGGTGGGATGAGCATCTTTCTGAAGAAAATGCCTCATTTGTTAAGCAGTTGGTCTCTGATGAAGATAAAGCCCAATTAGCAAGTAAATTGTGTCCTCTGAAAGATGAACCCTGGCCTATACATCCTTGGGAACCAGGTGATTCTTTGTGTTTGATGAGTTCTCATCCCTTCATTACTATGTGGCTGGACACATTCAAAATCACAGTGACTGCTTGATAAATATTTCATCCCTTGAATTAATTTTCATCTATTAAGTGTGTCTGTTTCATTGAAATTTGGTTTGCAAGTTATTCCCAGCCTCCTAAGTTACTGTTAGTAAAAGACCTTGAGAAGCTGTTTTGTTGGTGAAAGGAGCATCATTCTGTGTCCATTCTCTTGTTTTCTTCAAATAAAAAGAAGTAAAATGAATCAGGAAAGAAAGGCTGGAAAAGTATGATATAAATTGTAGTTAGTTACACAGCTGTCTTCAGTTGAGATGCTCTAGTATTTTAGGTTTGCCAGAATCAGTTCCTTGTGTCCGGTGGGATACAAATTCCACGTGAGGCTAGACCAGAATAATAAGGCCTTTCCTGCTGTGGTCTTTGGTTGGGGTTTATTGTAACAGTTAAATTATATCCTGGCAAAACTTTGTGGAGCAACTTTGATATTTTATGCAACAAATCTAAATATCACATCCCAGTCCAAGAGACTGACATATTTTAGCAATATGTGGCATCTCTGAAGTTCCAGCTTATGTCTTAAAATTTGAGTAGCAGGTGTTTTCTAATTAATAATTTAATTGATACTAGAAAAGTATTATGATGGATTTATATGCCCTGTGTTAAAACTTTTAAAACTGGAATATATTAGTTTATCCACATTCTTTGTATAGTTCTCTTACATTTGTTCAATTGAAAGGATTATTTAGCACTAATATATTATGCCAGGCATAGTTGTAGGCCCTTACATCTGTAAAAAACAACCTTATTTTACTCTTTGAATATATTTGCATACTTCTTATACGTGTGTTCTTTATATTGAAACCTAATTTTAGGAAAGACTGTTGCGTTGTGTTGACAGATGTTAAAAAAGATTTAGTTAGTATTGACTTGGTTTTGATTTCCAGGTTCCTCTAGAGTTGGCCTTATTGCCCTGAAGCTGGGCATGATGCCATTATGGACCAAGGATGGGAAGAAGCATGTGGTCACATTACTTCAGGTAAGAAACAGAACATGTAGGTGATCTGTATGTGTGCCATGATATATTTGTGCAAACTTTGTGAATCTTACCACAAATTTTGGGGTGTTTTTTTTTGTTTGTTCTTTCAGGTTCAAGACTGTCATGTCTTAAAATATACTTCAAAGGAAAAGCATAATGGAAAAATGGCAGCCCTAAGTGTAGGAGGAAAAACTGTTTCACGCTTCCATGTAAGGATATATTTTCATTCCTAAAATTGTATGTTTCATTAGTTTCAGATCTAAATGCCTTTATGTTTTGAGAATATTCCATAGCCACAAAGTTAGAGAAGGGAGTCAGTCTAGTAGAGCCGTTTTTCCCAAGAGTTCAGAGCCCAACTTTGTTGCAGTGTTTTTATCTGAACAAGTAACTTTACGTCTCTAAGATACAGTGTTTGCACATCTATGAAAAGGAGATGAAAATACTACTTACCTAATAGGTTTGTCACAGGATAAATGAATGTTTTTAGATGTGCCTGGAATATAGTAGACACTCAGTAGATTTGGTTATTTGCTTTATTCTTTCTTCCTGTGGAAAATCATCTTAGCACTTAAAACCAATAGCCTGTGAGGATTAATTTGGTATGTTTCAGAAGGAGTTTTCAGTACTTGGGAGAAAGCTGTATATGAACCCATATCAGATTTTTTTCCTACATTGAATACTAATAAAATGCCAAATTTATAGTTTGCTAGAAAAATCTACCCAGTTAATATCCTCTGATTAAAAGCAGAAAACCTTTCTAGAAATATTGATAGTTTTCACTCTGGGTAATACAACATCTTTAGGTTTACTAGAATGTATTGTGTATCTCTAAGCAAACATTTCTTTTGTTATAAATTGTTTATGAAACAAAGATGCACAAAAAATTAGGATGCAACCCCTACTATCAGGCTGTCAGAACTAGCAAATGTTTCTTTGTATGGTTGCTGGTTCCTTATCACAGTTAACTTGTATTGAGTACTTTTTACCTGCCAGTCACGTAAGCATTGAGCCTTTTACATTCTTTACCTTAAGTGACCTTTTAAACTCAAAGGCTAAAACAAGCAAGTAACTCACTCAGGACCACCTGAGAAGAATAGTGACAGACTCAGCAGCCCTAAGTTCATCCTCTGGGAACTCTAAAGCTGGTAAGAGAAATGAACAAATAAATTAGCCATCCCAATACAATAGTGTGAATCCAGCAACCACAGAACTCGAGTCAGCCAATTCTGGGGCAATCCCAGGAGGGTTCACAGAGAGGAAGCCAAAGAGGAACAAGTGTGTTAAAGGCCTGCCAGAGGGAGTAGTCTCTGCAGAAAGAGTGGAAGAGCTTGTGTGCTTGGGAAGAGATAGGTGATGTGACCGCGTGTTGGTGTGGGTGGGGCCCGTGGGCAAGAGTGAGGGAGTACAGCTCTCTAGGTGAGTGTGAAGAAGTTTAGCTGCATCCTGTGGACTTCTAGGAGCTTTCTGGATTATTTAACCAGGACAGTAACCCAATCAAATTGTTATTTTGCTTAACTAAAATATAGAAAATCTGATTTGGGGGAATACTTCCAGGAAGTTTTGGCTTAAGCATTTTGAACCAAGAGAGTTGTATTTGGATTGAAAGGATTAGAGATTTGTAAAGAACTAAGATGGGGAGGAGGGAGGTGCGACACAGGCATAGGGCAGTTTCCAAGTAAGCATTTCGGAGCTGGGTCAGTGCTGACGTCTAAGCTGGGACAGGGACAGGAAAGGGAATCTTTGTAGGAAAGGTTTTCACAGAAATCCATGTGGAGTTGCCCTGTAGATAGTGAGAAATACTATTCCACTAGATAGTGGTTGAAATCATTTTTATTTTATTAAGTTTTATTAAGCCAGCCTATTTCCCAAAGTGTTAGTAAATTAACTATTTTTATGTTCTGGTAGCATAGTCCATTTGTTTTTCAGTAAGGTTTTGTGGTAATACTGGTCCTATTCTTGACAGTTAATTGACTAACAAACTCAGATTCTAAGTGATTCCACAGTAATTAGAAATGCATTGAGATTTTTTATTAGGGTACATTTGTTTTACAGGAGGGATTCATTGTGACAATTCTAAATAGGTTTACATTGTAAGTTGGTTAGATTGCCCCCACCATCTCTCCCCCTTAACCCCCTTCTCGCCTCACTTAAAGTAATTATAAGAGGTCTGATTTGCTCTATTTCGTATATGAAGCACATCAACCATATTCCTTCACCTTCATCTCCTCCATTCACCCTCCTCCCACAAGTTCCTCCTACACACTGTACCTATTTTCCAGTTATTAATTTTGTTATTAATTCCTGAGTCAGTGTTCAAAGGGGTTTCTCAGTGTATCCCCTCTGTATGTATACTTTACTTTGGTCAGTTCGACCCCTTCCATTACTCTCCCTTACTCCTTCCCTTCCACCTCCCTTTATTTAACAGCTTTCAGTACCTGTTGGTATACTTTCTACCTTCACAGATGTTATGTACTCTGATGCTGATATTGTTGACACTGTATCATTCTCTTTCCTTTCCTTTCTTCCCTGAGTTCCGTAGCATAGTTCCACTCTTACATATTCTGCATAAAAGTTTGTAAATAATCATGTTTATGTTTTGGATCTGTCCTCACACATGAGAGAAAACAAACACACATTAAGATTTTTATGGAATCTTTTAAAAGTATCAAATGTTTGAATTTCATAGTTGCATCAGTGCATACCAGCCTCTCGTTGTATAATTGGCTTGTCAGGTGCCACTGCTTTCTAATTCATAGTGCTGTTTTTGTAACAACTAGTTTAATTTTTTATTGTCATTATCGATTTTGTAAATTCATGACCTTATGAGTATAAGTATAAATATTTATATGTATTCATATGTATAAATATTTATATATACAAATATATATAAATCAAGAATTATGTTGAGATAACTTACTCTGCTTCAACAGATCTGTGAACTTTCTTCCTCAAATATGAGGTAGTGGGAAAACCCTTAGGTGTAGGCTGCTGTTACCTCTTTTCACTCACCTTTTGAACATCCCCATTTTCTTACCCATAAAAACAAGGAATAAGCTTGATGGCCTTTAAATTCTCTTCTGATTCTGAAAGTCTCACATTGGTTCTCTGAATATTTTAGTTCTTAAGAAGAAACTAAAAGTTAAAAAAGTATACTTGGGAGCTCAATTTAATGTACTCTAATTTGCTTAGTGATGCAGATGTATTATAGATAAAACTTTATTAATGCTAACAATGTTAGTATAAATAGCAGTATTTATTAATGATTAGAATATTACAAAAATGATAGTACAGCACTTTTATATTCAAACTGTGATCCAAATATTTTTTTTTTTCTTTTAAGCTAACTCTTATAGATTTATCACAGTGAACACACAGCACATTAGTGCCACTTGGAGATTTGGATACTATATTCTATTGTGGTCGATTTTGACCACTCAGCTTAATAAACTTTAAAAGCTATTCCCATCTTGGTAGACTGTTAGAGAAGGGGGGTGTGAACAGGAGGGCAAAAGAGGGTGATGGGCGGCATGATGGAAATACATTAAAGCCATGTGTGAAATTGTCACAGTGAAACCCATTACTCTGTATAATTAATGTGCTCTAATAAAAAAAGCAAAAAAGAAGTATTCTCTTCTCCATCGTAGGAAGCACTATAAGAATTCTTCATAAGTAAGACATTTTTATTTGAAAAGAGATTTTTCAAGCTGAAAGAACACAAACTCTATCTTGCATATTTTAGCCCTCAGGAAAACTGCAAATAGATTAATTATAGTGGGTTTTTCTTTTTTACAAAAAAAGACCTAAAAATACAAAATATCAAATAGCTGAGCACTCAAAAATAAATTAATTAAATCGGTTTTATTTATACTAAGCCTAGAACTTTTTTTTTTTAATCTGTCCAAGGAATTAGACTAGTATGCTTTTGCTATTTTTGTATCTTATAAATAAAAACTGATGTGGTACATAGTGTTTTTGCATAAGGGAGTTAAGTGGCCTTATGAGTTGATTAAATCAGTTCATCTTAGGAGCAGAGAAGCATTTTCATTGTGGGAAGGATAATTGTAGAGAACTTTGAAGAGTGGGAAAAATGCAACCTCATCGATGGGATTACCCAAGTGTGACAGTGCTGTCAGTCTTTTAAATTGCCTTTTGAAGTCATTTATTTGGAAATTTAAAAAAGGAAAGAAAAAAAGAAACTCTGTTAACATTGCTTCTGGTTTCAGCTTGAGCATTTGTTTTTTCTCATGACTGAGACCTAATTACTTTTATAAAATTAATAATTTTAAGGGAAAAAAATTTTCAGTTTTAGTAAAATTTAAAGGTAAGAAATATATGTTTCCTTAGTTCTTTTTTATGTTTTGGTGTAGAGTTGACTTAAGATGTTCATCTTGTACTATTTTGTGTTCAAAAAAGTAAAAGATTTTTCTCAGACGTTTCCTGATCATACTCAAAAAATATTAATAAAATATGCTTTTTTAACAGGCAAAAATATGTGCATACAAAAATAAGTTTGAAATGTCTTCTGAAATTTAATAAATTTAAATCTAATACATGAGGAGCCCACCTTTTAAATGAAAATTTTGTTTGCTCTTATTGTAGAAGTGAGTTTGGTTGAAAATGAAGAACAGGGATTTTGGTAATTACAGCATGAGAAAAGTGAAGTCGTAGAGAGGAACTGGACCAAATTAGTGTTGTTGCTCTTTGAGGTGGTTGGATAGCTTCTTGAAAATTCTATGAGGTACCAAACAACCTTCATCGGACTCCAGGGCAAGTCTTCTCAGCCCTACTGGAGAGCTTCAGGGAGATTCCTAGTGGGGAGTAGACTGATGCAGAGGTGAATGTTCTGGGCTTCCAGGCTAGTGCCACCCAAATTCAGGTCAACTAAAGACAAATTATGAAGTTCTTTTAAAGGAGTGCTAACAGTTATGTTTTGTCTGACTTTATTTATGTATTTATTGTGCTGGGAATCAAACCCAGGGTCTCTCTCATACCAGTAAAGCACTCTCCAATGAGTTACACCCCCCCAGCCCAGTTTACATTTTAAATTTGAAAAGTAACTGAATTTGCTGAGGATACAAATATATTCTACAAGTAATTCTGGTTATGTAGATGCTTCATTGCAATTTGGGGTGGAGTGTTTTGTAATCAGTGATATCTTTAGCTGCTTAGGGTTTTTCAATTGTTGTTTTTATTACTTTTTGATTACAAACCACTATTGGTCTGGTTTCATGATAGTTTCTTACAGATTTGTTCATTCTCAGAGTAAATCATGACATGTATTTTAGGCCTGTAATTTACAGTCGTGAATGGTGTAGACGACACAGGTGTGCATATATACATTGGGGGCCTGTGGGTGCTTTGCTTATGGTTAGAGGAAAAGTGGAGGGAGAGGAAACAGCAGGGAGGTAGGTACACCTGTGTTGGTTATATTGTCATGGAAGAGGCACTCTTCACATCAGGAAATGTAAAGTGGTACAACTTTTTGGCAAGTCCTATAGCAATCTCTGTCAAAACTGTAAAAGATAAAGTTGGTATACCCAGGCATTGTTGTAAGAAAATAAGATGTCTATGAAGTTTTATTCTCAAGGACCTTAATTGTGGTATTTATAGTAGCAGGACAAAGGGGGAGGTTATGGGGGGGGAGGAGAAAAGAAGACAGCAGCAAGACTAGCAAAAACTGGGAAATAACTAAAACAAGTTTCATTCTTTAGGAAGCTTATATTTTGGTGAGATTGGGAGAGTGTTGTATAGAAGATCAGACCATAAAAACTGTATCATGATATAAGGAGATAAAAGCTTTGAAGAATAGGCTGAGGTATTGGCAAGTGACAAAAGTGGTGCTATTTTAGATAAATTCAAGAAAAGTAAGTTGGTATTCAGATGGGGCCTGAGTAAGGGAGCAAGTTGTCAAAAATCTGGCAGAAAAGCACAGTAGGCAGGGGGAATAGAATGTGCAAAGGACCTGCAGTCAGGTTTTCAGACCAGTAAGGGAGTGCATTTCATGTGAAGTAAGATGTGCTAGGAGGAGAGTAGATGATGTTAGATTGTGTAGAACTTTGTAAGCCATGAATGTAGGACTTGATTCTGCTTGAAGCAGAAGGCATTATAGAGATATGATATAGTTTGACCATGCAGCCTGTGAGTTGTGAGTGGACCACAGAGTCAGGAGTGTGGAAACTTGGATCAGTGAACAGGCTGCTGAAACAATCAAGGAAAAAATTGTTGTGAGAAGTGGTTGGTGTGGGCTGTATTTTTAATAGGATCTTCAGTGATTACTGGTAAATGGAGCATAGGACATGAAAAGTCAAGGGTAGCTACCAGATTTTGGGCCTAAACAACAGAAGTTGCCAGTTACTGAGATTTGCCCAGGGGAAAGCAGGCTTGGGGAAGAAGTAGAGTCAGTTTAGACGTGTCAGGTTTGAGTTGCTGTGTGAGGTTGAGGTGGAGCTGATGAGATGGCCACTGGGCATGTGAATTTGGAATTGAAATTAGAAATGTGAAGTCAGCTGTGAATGTGGGCACTGAGAGCAGTGCCCAGAGCCAAGTGAAAGTCTTTCAAGGGCCCCCTGGGTCCTGCATTGCTGCAAGATCCAGTACTGACGAGAGTATTTGGCTGTGTGGAGTTTGCTGGTCGCCTTGCCAAGGTGCTTTTATTGTGTTAGGGGCTGGAAGCACCTGATTAACATGGGTCCAGAGAAGGAGTGGAGAGAAAGTAGGCCAAGGGGCATTGATTTAAGGGGGAACAGAAAAATTAGCCAGAGAATATGCGGTCCAGGAGAGGTTCTAATCTGAGTTGTTGTGACATGTTCCTATGCTGATGGGAAGGTTCCCATAGAAAGGGAGAGACTGATGTAGTAGAGAGTGGAAACACTTTCAGGAGGGATGCCATCGAAGAGGTGAAACTGAGAGGGAGCCAATGATGTCAGCAGAGCATGGACAGTTCACCCTCTGTCAACATGATTTCCAGCCTGTGTTTGACATAGAGTCAACTGAGGTGCTTCTAAAAAATGCTGATGCCTGGGTCCCACCCTAGACTGGTGAAGTTACGATCTGCAAGCAGAGGGCCAATGGCACTGGCATTTTCTAAAAGCTCCCCGTGTGTATCTCATGTGAACTAGGAGTGGACAGGCAGAGTTCAAACAGGAGCAGAGCACAACTGTTTCCTTTCCTATAAAACAAAGGCCTTTTGCAGGGTTCTGGTTTTGAAATATTATGTTCATGGTAGGATCCTGAGCTGAGCTGCAACGCTGTTTGTTCAGAGTATGTTGAGTTGTTGATGTAATTCTCGCCTCCCTTAAAGAAAGGGAATTGGTTGCTCTTTGTGTGCTTTATTGTTCTTTGGGGCAGGGAGTTAATAACTTGGTTTGGCTGTCTATGCATTCAACTCCACATTTATTATTTAATGTGTTACTTATATGTACTGCTTTTCCTCTAGAAACCTACATCTATATTGGAATTTTACCGAGAACTTGGACTGCCGCCAAAACAGAAAGTTAAGATCTTTCATGTAACAGATAATGCTATAATTAAGCCAGGTAATCTGAGGTTGGGGAGAGGAGAGAGGTAAAAATATCCAAATATATGATTTGTTTAATGTTAGCCCTTTCTATAAAGCTAAATCCAAAAATACAAAGTCCTAAACACTTTTAAATACAGAACCGTATCTAATTTAATCACTAGGAACAAACAAATCTTTGTCTCTTCTAAGTGGAAAAGACTGTAAGAAACTCTTTGCTTTCCATGAGAAAGGGAGAAACACTTTTGTTTTTAATGTAGAAAGCTTCACATTTTAAAAAGCCACTCCAAATAAATACTCTTAACTTTAAAATTTGAGGTTCATTATTTGCAGACTGGCATTCTGTTAAAGTGAAGCCTAGCTAGACTCTCCCTAGAGAGTGAGAAAATACATCAGGTACAACTTGATGTAAAGATTCTTAACTAAAAATTCCAAAATATTTTACCTCTCCCTAGAATGTCAAAAAGCAAGATTCGGCATGTAATTGCATTGGTTAAGTTACTAAAATACATCATTTTCATGCAATTGCAACATCAGAAAAGCTCCCTGATCTCTTGAACTTGAGTTCTAAACAAGAAGATAGAATAACTTGAAGGTGAAGTAAATGGAATTAAACTATAACAAGGATGAAAATTAGTCGAGATACTGGATCGTTCTATATGAGACTGATTATATGGGCATATATTCTACCTTAAATATAAAACAGTAGTTCTAAATACCGTGATCATTACCCAGCATATGAGGGGTTGGGTTCAAATAATTATATTTCCTGCTTTTTTTCAATAGTGATAAAAGATTTGATTCAAGATCAGCATGTTTTTAGTTCTCTTGTGTTTGTTGCCTTGTGTGAAATAGATAATATTTTTAATTGAAAGAGTATACTTTTTTTAACAAAGCAGCCAAGAATCATAGAATGATCAAACTTGTGTGTTTACCAGCACTTGCGTTGTCACGGGAATCATTTTTTGACCAGCATCACCTTGACCCCTACACAGGCACCAGCCCATGAGCCAGTCGTGTCTGGTGGCCCACTCCAGCACCGTGAGCCTTGTACTAGGCCACGTTGCTCTTCTGCCTGTGCATAGTCAACTAAAAGACATGTTTGTTGAATAATTTCATTGTTTGGGCATTTCTAATATTTTTAATTGCCAAAAAGAATCTCCTATTTTCTGAAGTCCAATAGGTAGATGTATTTTTTTATCTAATATAGTTGTCTCTATGTTGACAAATTACTGATTTTTTCCATTTCTTTTCATGAAGGCACTCCTCTGTATGCTGCTCACTTTCGCCCAGGACAATATGTGGATGTCACAGCCAACACGTAGGTCCTCAGCCATTTTCTTCATTTTCTTTCCCTCTCGTATTAGAAAAGAACAGACTTGAAAGAAGTAAACTCTCTCAGGTCAGTGAATAAAGGACAGATACTCTCATAGTCCTAATTGTTAGTCTAACTACTGGTTTTTAAATTGCACTGGACTAGTTGTATATGAAGAGTTTACATCAGCTTTCTGCTTCTAGACTGAGACGTATGCTTCTGGAAATGGGGCTAAGAGGAAGGTGACATTATTTAGATTCTTTGTGAGTTGGACCCAGTTCTGTTTTAAAGACCAAAGACGACATACAGTTTGGTGAAATACACATGAGCAATACTAGTGGAGTATTTTTGAGGTTATTTGGTTTGGGGGTGTTCTTTCTAATTGTAGGAAGTACTTAGATTAGTAACATTTTATACTATGGTGAAAGTGGTGGTTATGTTTAAGCTCTCTCAAAGTAACTATAAACAACTTTTGAACCTATGTTAAAAACCAGTCAGAAACTGGAAGAAGAAATAATAGCACTCCTCCTTAGGTCTCTTCAGTAGCAGCCGTTGAAAATGGAGGCAAAACGTATTTTATACTTAAAAGATTCAATGTAGTAGAGACCAACATTTAATTGTCACTCTAATAGAAATGCTGAGTCATATACTGAGCAGTGGTATTTTCAGCACTATGGCCTTTTCATACTTTGCCATTTGTGCCACAAGCCATAGTACTGGCTAGATGAACCCCTTGTAGCATTTAGATCTTAGGGAAGTAGCCTTTCAAAAATTGGTTTAGGTTACTTCACTGGAACAAAATAACCTTTTGTATATGTTTGTGTAGCAACTTGTTCAGCCTAAGAGTTTGGATTTCATTCGACCTAGAGTAAATGAAACTTCATCCTTGTCCATTCTTGTTCTCACGACCTAGATGATCATTTCGTTTCTCATTGTGCCTCGGTTTTCTCCTTTTTGTCACCTGACAGTATCTGCAGGAGAATTCTGACTAGGATGAAATGGGTCCATAGGCGCTCTGGGATAACCTTATGATCATAGCAGCTGAGCCAGGGCAGGGTTTGTCTTGTCGGTTTTGTTTCTTTCTTCACTTTAAGGTGCCAGGGTTCAAACATCAATTTCTAATCCAGAGTAACCAGGTGAATGCCAGCCTCAGTTTCCTTAATGCTGGCCATTATACTCATTTCTTCATCATTGTCACCTAATTTGAAATTTTCACTGTTGCAGATGCTGCTGCTTTGTTTGACTATTTAGAAATGAAGTGGCATAGGTTGGCAGGAGGGAGGATGATTTTTTTAAGGAGATTATGAAGCTGTCCCTTTTTTTCCTTCTTGCCTTGGATTTGTCATGGACTTGCCCCTAGTTACTAGGGTCCCTAAAATCACTTGTGTCTTGGTAACCATGCTTGTTCTACTTCTCTTTTCAAGAACTCAAAATATTGGAGCTTTCATTGATTTGGTTAGGTAGGAAGGGGGTGTGTGTGTATGTGTGTGTGTGTGTGTGTGTGTGTGTGTTGTGAATCAGATTTTTTTTTTTACTTTCTAATTTCTGAGTTAATCACATATAATAAAATACCTTGTAGTCATTCTGTTGGTTTATAGACAGTCAATATTGTGTGAATTCCATTATATATTTTACAAGCTGTACAGAATATTCTGAGAAGCAATGCAGTCAGTGGCTTTTGTTAGCAGATGTCTTGTGGTCTGGCTTGTGATGCGCTTGAATTAGAGCTTAGCTTTTCAAATGCCTGTTTTCAATAAATGCTTCCATCTCATATGCTACTGGTGAGTTTCCTTGGTTTCTTTTTAAAAAGTTGTTTTTAAAACTTCAGCCTTCCTGTGAATATAAAGTGAAAAGTTCCTTATATCTTAAGGTCATATTCCTAGAAAACAAGATCATGGAAAGCCATGTGCCAGCCTCAAGACTAAATAGGCCATAAAAGCCGGGAGGAGTAATCTTGGGACGTAAAGTACTGACAGTTAACTCGAGGAGAAGGGAGAGCCCCATTGGAGAAGATCCTCACTACTGTTTCGTACAGACTGCACTATAGTCTTGTTTGACTTTGTGTAACGGGTATGGGGGTTACCCCACACGGGGGTGCGCTGCATCCGGGGGTATACATACTTTCATGTAGAGTTACCTAAGACCAGATTGAACTGGACTATTTTTTTTTTTAATGTAGACTTGTGTTAAGTGTTTCTGGTGACTATAGCTCTTATAGCTGGCCTGCTATTATATCTGTTAAGAAGCTTTTAAGTGCTTGTAAATTTATAGGACTATTGTTCTTTTCCTGTGGGGCTTGAATTGATTTCCTCCGAGCGCAGCACTGGCTCCTTAGCTGCATACTAGTCCTGGTTGCTGCTGCCTCTGCCTTGTCACTAATGTCCCTGGGCCGCAGTGTGTGTGAAGGGCCACATGCACGTCTCTGCATTTGCCTGCTTTTCTTTTATCCTCTATAAACTGAATGGCCCTCCCCTGGTGATTCTCATTTGGGGACATTTCCCTCTGCTTGGAGTTTAAGTCCTTCACGGACAATGAGAATGTTCTTTTTATTAACCATAAATATCTTGTTTTGGGTATAGGTTCTGTGTCCCTCTCAGTCCCTTACACTGTGACTGATTTGGGTTAGAGAGTTTCTACTTTTTCCTCCATTCTGAGCCCCCTGTTTTAAAATGTTGAGACTTCTCAGCTCTATCTTCTTGATTATTAATCTCATTAGAAGTGCAAACAAACTGGAGGAAAAATTTGTGCAGTGCCATTGTGCAGATTGGGGGCTGCTGGGAAAACCTGTGTCTGCAGGCTGCAGCAGTGACTCTCACACCTGAGTGCACTTTACAGTCTCCTGAAGAGCTTGTTAAGCACAGATTGACAGGCCCCATCCACAGAGCTGCCAGCAGTTCTAACAAGTTCCCAGGTGTGTGGAGGATGCTGGCCCAGGAACACACTTTGAGAACCACTGGACTGGAAAACAGTTAAACAGCTCTTCTTTACCATCCTTCACCTAGTACAGAATGCAGAATGCTTTCTTTCCTGAGTTCTGATTAACTTGGAACATTTTTAATCATTTAAAGCAAGCAAGTTAAGTTAATCCAGTGTCAAAGAATATTGCCAAAGTGGGTCTCTTTATTATTCATATTTCAGTTATTACAAAACTGAAAATCAGTCTGCTTAGCAATAGGTTTCATTGTCTCTTTGTGAAACAAAAGTAAAATATAATTGTAAATCTATACTTATATTTTAAATAATTTTTTACCTTGTGCCTTCCATTTTAATTGCTAATTTAAGCATGATTTAGAAATAAGTATCTAAATTAATAACACATGTTGAAAGAAGAAAAACACTGTCTACTTGAAGAAAATACAGTATTAGTAGACTCTGTTCGCCTCGGGAATGAAATTGCAAACCTTTTTAAAAAGAGGACCGGTAGTATTGGCTTCTTGAAGCATTCTTAAAACTTGTAAATGTTCATTTTCTGATACTTACAATAGAAAATCTGTTTGTGTTAAGATACAGTGAATTGACTTGTACTAAATTTGGTTATAATTTTCTATATAAGCAGGTAAATTTACCAGTGTCACTTTGGAGTCTGAGATGAGTATATCTCTCTCTCTATATATATATTCATTTTAATTTTTGCTTTCATACCCAAAATAGTTTTTTTACCTAAAGGGTCTGAGAATACAGGTTCAATTTAGATTCTCTGGGAAAGAGTTCTACATCTCATACATAAAACCATCTAGCAGAATAACTTTACAGTTCATTACACTATTAACATAATAAAGCCTATTCTTGGAAATACGGTGGTTTAATGTAATTCAGTCTTAGTAAAAATGCTAAAATAGCATATATAATGATGACTCGTGTTCCTGCCCCCAACTCAGTATATTTTGGAGGCTTTTCTGTGCCAGGGATTCTGTTCCATCTAATAGAATGATGGTTTGGGGTCTGATATTTTCCCTTTCTTCTGTCTCAATTTTGAGAGGGAAACAGCTCTAGATCCTTTATAACTATAAGCAGTGGGTAAGATGAGGCATGACTGTCAGTTCTTCCTTCAACATAGGATGTTTAGTCCACTTTTTCTGTGGAATCCTAGCAGTGCTTATTATAATTTGTAATTGAAAAAAAAAAAAGAAGAAACTGCAGAAAGGTTGAAGCAAAGAACAAACAAAAATAAAACTATTAAAATGCATTTTACTGTGTTTAGGGGAAAATGCTGGTCTCTGTCTCAAAGGACTTGAAGCACAGAGGTGGTGGTGCAGTGTCCATAACAGTGGCACGGAGAACTTCCTGCCCTGTGTCTTACTGAACTTTGAATTCTCAACTGTGGCATGCCTGAAGTAAATTTTTTCCACTTGTCTAAAATTATTTATTTGTTAATTATTTAAAATTTTAAGCTCATATTAAAATCAGAAGACCATTTATTCAGTTACTTAAAAGACTGCTTTTTTCTCTGGAAGAATAGTCTAAAAATCTTGGCTACAAGCCTGGACTAATTGAAACAGCCCACATATTTTCAGGCATAATCTTACTACTTTAAAGTTGTCAGTGCTCTTTAAATACTCATTGCTGTTTGATACCAAAACAGAAAAATAGGGCCAGGCATGGTGGCTTATACTTAAAATCCCAATTACTCAAGAAACAGAAATACAGAGGATCTCTTTTCCAGCCCAGGCAAAAAGTTAGCAAGACCCTATCTCAACTAAAGCCAGGTGTGGTGATGAGCACCTGTGATCCCAGCTATTCAGGAGACGTAGGTAAGAGCTGAGGCTGGCTCAGCCAAAGAGAAGAGACCCTACCCGAAAAATAGCTAAAAAACAAAAGAGGCTAGAGGCTGAAGTAGAGCTCCTGCCTACCAAGTGCAAGGCCTTGAGTTCAAATCCCAATACCGCTAAAAGAAAGGAAAAAGAAAAATATTTCTCTTGATAATGTTCTCATTAGTAGTAAAAGTTAAGAAAGGTAGGTGGGGGACATTAGGTAAGTGATAGAGCACCTTTGCATGTTGATTGTGA